TATGTTAAGGATGATTTTGGAATGATGTAAAAGAATTATGTAGAGTTCCAAAGTCACAATTCTAAGATTGAGAGAGAGGAATTCCAAGATTGAGTGAGGCGTCCCAAGATTGAGAGATAGGAGTCCAAAACATGCACTGCATGTAAATTTGAATTGAGAATGAGTGAAGTCTAGAATTTTCTTCATTATTCTTGTGATTTTGTCCAAAGGTATAGGTTGTATGTTATGATGGGGAAAATATCACTAGAAATAGTGTAGAAAGAGTCTAGAAAGCTCTTAAGTAGTCTATATATGCATGTACTATATTTTTTGTACAAATAGAGTGAAGAAATTGAGTTGATTTGGGGTTTTTGTGTGCATAATACAAATTCTAAAAGTAACCTTTCTTCCTCCCTATTTTAATAGTATATATAATGTTGATGGTGGTATCGGTGTTATTAAGAACAAGATTGGGTCTAAGAAAGTTATTGTTGTAATTGATGACGTCGATAGCGATAAGCAGCTCGAAAACTTAGCTATTATCCGTTATTTGTATCATCAAGGGAATAGGATAATCATGATAAGCATATGTTGAGTGTTAACAATATAGTTTGATAATTGTTATGTCTACATGCTCAAGGAATTGGATGGCAAAGAATCTCTTAAAACTCTTTAGTCGGTTTGCATTTGAATGGGATGAACTGTGCAAGAATACGCCGGGCAATCTAAGCATGTTCTGTCTTCTGCTAGTGGGCTTCTAGTGTTGGGAAGCAACTTTTCAGATAAGATACTTGAAGAGTGGAATGTAGTTAAAAATTTAGAACATCCTCTTTTCTTCCCCCACCTCTCGCCCCTCTTTTGAGGATAGAAGAGTACCATCTTGTTTCGATCTGATCCTTGCCAGGAACCTCCCCTGCTCAACAGGAACCCATGCCTCTTCTCGTCTGTCGAAGCTACATTGTCGGAGCTACAAGACTGTGTTTGGCTGCTACCGCTCGCCCTATAAGTGTGGATGTAGCTCAAGACATGCTTTTCACCCACAGGTGGTTTTTCGTGAAGCAGTGACTTTTCCAAGCACATAGCCTGTTGATGCTTTTGCCAATTTGAGCTCTCGCCTACTTTTGTTGTCTCTTCTCTCCTCTTCAGAACTTCTGCTCTCTCATTCCTTTTTATCATCTGGCAACAGTTGTATTCTGAGCACCCAACTTGTGGGATGCCAACTTTAGAACTACCATTATGTAAATTCTCTTATCAATATAAAGTTACCCTTATTCAAAATAACAAATGAATACAATTTCTGAAAAGGAGGCCATGCCAAAGTAAAATTAAGTTTTGATGATTTAAACGAAGAAACCAAAGAAATATTTCTCGACATTGTATACTTCTTCATAGAAGAACATAGAGATTACACAATTAATGTATGGAAAGGTAGTGGTTTTCTTGCTTTAAATTCCATTAGGAAACTATTGCAACAGTCACTCATAAAAATTGATGAAAGGGGTAAGTTGTTGATGCACGACCAACTTCGTGATATGGGGAGACAAGTTATTGAACTGCAAAACTTGGATGATCCAAGAAGGCATAGTAGGTTGTGTTCTGAAGAAGATATCATTGATGTGTTGAAGAATCAAAAGGTTCGAAATTTTGAAACAAGCTTATTTTTCTCTTGTTAGAGAAAACTTATATAATGAATGCAGGTGATATGGTTAGATACATTTGTTTTTTAGCAGCTTACTACTTGGCTGACATTTACTTTTATGGTCGATTAAGGAACTCGAAAGGTTCGAGGCCCAGTCCTACCGGGCAACAATCAGAGCCATAGTTGGGGCAACAATAGGGCCATAGTTAGGAAAGTAAAGCATTAAAATCAATGACCAATCTGAAGCTACTCAACATTACTGGTGTATCTCTTATGGGAGCTTCTAACATCTTCCATAGGAATTCGTGCGGCTACAATCGCAGGGAGATTCTTTAGCCATGAAAAGCTTGTGTGCCCTTGGGTTTGAAGATTCCATTTATTATATCCATAGGAATTCGTGTGTCTACAATGGCAGGGATGTCCTTTACAGTACCTACCAGATAGCTTTAGCCGTTGTGAGTGATATTTTTTTGTGTTAGGGTGAATGGATATGAGTCTTTTGCTCGGGTTTTATCGGGAAAGCCTTTCTGTGTGGCATATAAAGCATAAGCTACTCCTATTGTAAGCCGTTTGATTTGAATGGAGGGTTGTATAAAGCACAAGTAACTCTTATTACATGCGTGCAATTTAAATCGACTGTTGGGATTGTTTCAATTATAATTTCATATTTAATAATGTTTTATTTCTGATTTTTCAATAGCTTTATTTTTTATTTTTCAATGAATATGGCATAAAATTGGGGCGTGTCCACTCAATAAAAATAAAGAAAAATATCTCCGTACACCATCTATTTAAGTTTCATTTCTCAACAGACCCAAGGTTTCAAAATATATCTTGCAGCCTAGAGATCTCATGTATTATATCTTCTAACCCTATAGACCAATTTTACATCTTTTTTTCTGCCAAAATAAAAGTTCAAAATGCATCTGTGTTTTTTTTTATTATTCTTTCTAAACCCCTTTCTCTCTCTCCTCTCGTGTTTATCCTCAAACCTCTCTCATTTTTTTTTCAATATTAAAAAAATGATAAACTTGCAAAAGATAAAAACAAAAAAAAAGGTCATAACCCAGTGTTGGTCCCAGCTAAACAAGGTCTCATGAGGGGTGGGCTAGCAACAATCCTAACCTTTGGCTTATACGCAAAGTGGCCGTTCTCAGGAGGAGAGAGTTTAGGGAGAAACAGAGGAAGAGAAAGAGAAGGGATTTAGATAAGAATAGAAAAGACTTAGAAAAGAATAGAAAAAAAACGTTGTCATTTCAACTTTTGTTTGAGATAAAAAGATCGGATAAAGTTGGTCTAGGGTATTAGAAGACATAATATATGACATCTCTAAATATGTTTTGAAACCTTAGGTCTGTTGAGAAATGAAACTTAAAAACGACGGTGTACGGAGATATTTTCTTTAAAAGTAAAATATAAATTTTTATAAAATAGAATTACTAAAATACCCTAGAACACTATGGGGAAATTTGGTCTTTTATTATTAAAATATTTTTTTGTTATTTTTATTAGGAGGTGCCCTAGTGGGAAAGGGGGGTGCCATAAATTTCATATCAAAATAATTAAAACTCAAATACTTTGAGTCGTCCTATCAAGATTAGACAAGCAAGGCCAGCTTGTGACTTTATAATATCTCGACCGTCAACTTAGTTCAGATAACTAAATATTGCAATCCTATGTATTAATATGGATGTGGTTTGTATAACGCTGAGGTCCTAAACCACCAAAGTAAGCCACACCTTCAAATAGTGTTGAAAGATGTTATTTTAGTATTCGAAATCTTTGTGATGGCTTGAAATTTTATTTTCATATCTCATTATAAAGTGTAAAATTTTAAAAATAGTACATATCAAGCAGATCTATGAACACTTGAAAATCAATGATCGTACAAATGCATTACAAGATATACTATTTGCAAGAATTAAAATCTATTTTTTCTCCTTTTTCATACATCTTAACTCGAGATGGTCGAATTGAGTGTTTTTTGGGCATCAAAACAACGTATTCTAATAAATGTTTTGAGGCGCACCATAATTAATTTGATTGTTTTGTCCCTCACGTTTATATAAACTTTTTCCTATATGGGGGAGCCACATAGAAAGTTGCCCATTACTTTGAGTGGAAGAGATCACGATCCTCTCTAGCCAAATCTCCTTTGTATCCAAGGTAAACTTTTCCATTTCACCTCCAATGGCCTGCCCAAAAGTAAATGGTCTCCGAATGCATTTTTTTTTTATTATTATATGGGTGCAGTTTATATAGAACTGAATCTCTAAACAATTAAAGTAAAAGCGCACTTTCAAATAGCGTCGAGAATTGTGGTTTCAATAGTGAAAGTCTTTGTTATAGCCTTAGAATATATTTTCATCGCTAATTATAAATATTCAAGCTTCAAAAATAGTGTAGATCGAGACCTATGAAAACTTGAAAATCTTGAAAATTGACAGTACAAAAATGCATTACAAGATGCACTATTTTTAAAACTTGATATCTATTTTTCTATCATCTCAATGCATCGTGGGATCGAGATGATCGATTTGATGACATTTGTGTATCAAAACAACCTCTTCTAGTGAAATTTTTGAGGTGCTTGATTGTTTGGAGAGTAGTACTTATATGAACTTTTTTTTTATTGTATTGTACACGTTCTTAAAGAAACGGAGGCAAGGCATATAGTAAAATGTAAACATCGGAGAGAGAGAAGCCCATTCATGGTTAAAGTTCAAAAACTAAAAAAAATAAAAAATAAATAAAATAAAATAAAGAAGGAAAAAAAAAAAAAAGGAAGAAGAAGAGAGAAGCTCACTCATGCTTTGGTGCTGCCCTTGTCGTAAATTTGTTGATATATTTTGTTAGCAGTGGGATTGGTTTTATAAATGAATGATTTTTAAAGTTGTTTGTCAATTTTAGTAAAGAAAATACCATTAAAGAGTTCAAATTATTTTACAAAATCATTAGATGACTTGGAATATCTCATTTATAATTGTAGGTTTAACTTTCATTTCAAGTTGTATTTCTTTGAAGATTTTGTTAAAAGTTTTGATCTTCCTCGGAGACCTCTCTCTACATCTTCCTCTTCCCTCGCATTTATCCTTTATCTTTCTTTAACCACCTCTCTCTCTATCTCTCCCTCATTCAATAATGCTCCTGCTCTCGTTCCTTTTCTCCCCCCAACTCCTTTATTATTATTATTTTATTTTTTGTCTCTCTCTCTCTCTATCTTCCTCCTTGTGCAGTTCTCTTGTTTTGTCACTCTTTATCACTAGTCGATTACTGCAATGTTTGAACTGACATTTGGAAAGCTTATCATAACATTCACGAGGCTTTACTGATAAACAGGTGTTCCCACATTCTACATGGAATAATTCAGCTTCATAGATTTTCATGCCCAAGATTGATTTTGGTCGAGCGTCAAATCCTTTCCATTGCCTGACTCGATATCCGGCTCGATCCCCCTGTTGAAAATATCCTCATTCTCTACATGCTCATGCTTTCTCTTGCCCAGGAAAGCCTTTCTCATACTAGAAAAAATGAAGTAACCAATAACGATTGGTATAACAAACATTGCATTCCAAACCATAAGAATTGTAAACCAAGAAGCTAAATCTCCATCGAATAAAGGCCTCGCAAATATGAACAAGATTGCAGTGGGTAGGTAGGCAAATGGCGACATGAGGACTACTAGCAATGTCGTCATTGAACGGCCTTTCCTCCACCAATGAATGCTCAACCTCAAAAGCCTTATGTGTGTGACAAGCCCTATACCTCCATTAAAGAAGACAACTGTGATTTGAAACATTACTTGAGCAGCATGGTCGTTGTATTTAGATTGAAGCACCCCATAGAAGAATGCATTGGCCGTGAAGTAGATAGAGATCCACATAGTGACCATCAACAATCGCATGAGTAGTTTTTGCTTCACAGATACTAAGCTCATTAGAAGTTTGATAATAAATAATGAGGTGACTAGACCCACTGTGTCACAAATAAGGAATACATCATAGGTCCATCGTTGAACATACTCATCAGGAGGAGTAAAACCAGCTTGAAATGTGATGGTGGCGATCAACACCGCTACCAACATGATTGTGCCCTTGCTCTTGCTTATCCAGTCTTGCTTCTCTAGATGTCGTGGCTTCTTTTTCCCCTTTTTTCTATCCTGCCTTACTAATTGGGAACTCCTTCTATCTTGCCCTGCTGATTGGGAACTCCGCATAATAGATATCGCTTGATTTTCTGACCCACCATTGTTTTGTGGAATAATTGTTGTTGATGATGATAAATCACGGCTTCTTTTTGCTCCTACAGTGATAAGTACTTGTTGAATTTCCATGTCATAGGATTTGCTTGAGTCCAGCTCTAAGGTGTCCAATGCAGTTAAGCCCTTTGAGTTCAAAGCATTGATTTCGATTCCCGGCACTTGTACTAACAATTTTATGAACTGGATAGCCATAGATATGAGAAAAAAAAAAACACAATCAGATCAATGAGTTGTCCTAACTTCGGCTTGGATAAACAAACCAATAGCAAATTTATAAAAAAAATCTGCTCTTTAAAAGTCTGAACAAGAAATGACATAAAATGACAAACTTGTCATGAAATGCATGCATCATCAATAAAGAAAATTACAACCTGAAGCATTTTCCTAGAGGCTGCAGCATGCAAAACAGTATTTCCATCTGTGGCTGGCAAGTTCACAAAGGCAAGGACATGAAGATTTTCCACCAAAAATTTCAAGTCCTCAAAACGATTCTTCTTAACACAAAGATAGAGAATTGTTTCACCCTCTCCTGTTAAGGACCTAGCATAGTGGGGATTAACAAAGAGAATTTCCCTCATAACATCTGCCCTTCCTTCACTAATTGCAACATGAGGAGGAGTATTTCCTCAGCCCATCGATAAGAAAGCCAAAACTAGAGTCCAAGTAAAGGAATTCTTTCACTAACTCAACATGGCCATTAGCAGAAGCAAGTTGGATAGGATAAAAACCTGATTCATCTTTTTTCAGGGTGAGCTCTGGGTTTTGCTTCATAATTTCTTTGGCAAATCCAATGTGCCCAAAAGATGCAGCTATGTGTAGTGGAGTTGTTTGAGTTGTGTTGTTTTGTAATATAGACTCCGTTCCGTTCATCATTGAAAACAATGCACCTAAATTTCCTGATATTGCAGTCTTATGCCATCTATTATCCTTGGCTGAGGTCCTGATAGATAAAAATGTAGACATATTGTTTTATAGGCATCTATGAATGTTCATTGGTACGTTTAGAAACTTTCACCAAAAGATCATGCTTCCACACGACCCAAGTCCTTCATTGACTCCTCCGGGTAAATTTTAAATGCGCGTATTTTTAGGACCTCAAATTCTAAGTTAACATCTAGAAAATGAAACAATTTTTAAAATGTACACTTTGCAAACCAAAGGAATTAATGCCTTTAAGAGACCATCCAATTTTAAGATGGTCCGATATAAGTGCTGGGAAACTCAAAATCCATTCCTTTAGTGTTTTTTTTTTTTTACCTCATTTGGTGATTATAAAATGGATCCCAAAATTTCAATGTGAAGGAACCCCGTTAACTAATCCATTTGAGCAAAAAAGCAAGTGTACGATATGGTCCCATAAACGCAAACCTTGACTTTTTCTTGGCCACATGAAAAGAAGCGGATCACAAAGTGCAAAAGTGCGTGTCATTGAAAGGAAATTTCCTCAATTTTATCAAGCCAAGGTATGGGACCCCCTTTCTTAGAAAAAAAGAGATCCGACAATTAGAATGTTTACATTAGTGTTTGTAAAATTAAACCGAAATGGTTAACCGAACATGGGTCTGGAAGCAGTTTAATTGGTCTAACCAGTAAATGGCCGATTCAACCGCTCTAACCGGACAAGTCATGGGCGGTCAAAAAAGTTATCAATAAAAAATATCAAAAAATTTGTTATGAAAAATATATAAAGAATGATTAAAATAAAAAATATTCAAATGAAGTTAAAAATTAATGAAAAAAATGGATTTTTACCCATTTTATTTTTCAAGGGCTATTTTTAAAATTTTCTAAAACATATGAAAAGAATATAAAAGTGAGTATTAATGACCAAAACATTTTTTAATCTTTACCATAATGTAAAGAGTATTTAAAATGCATTAGAAATCAAATTCCTTATTTTTTATAATTTATATATATATATATATATATATATATATGAATTCGTTATTTTTAAAATACCGATTGATCATCCTATCCACCAAAGACCAAAACCGGCCAATGGCTGGTTCCGATCTAACCGGGCGGTTAACGGTTAGATCGGACGATTTTACGAACAATGATTTACATGAAGTAAAATAATAAATATTAGATAATAAAGAAAGAGTGAGCCGGGTGATAATTTTCTAGAGATTGCTATTTATTTTCGGTTATGGTGATCGTGACTGACGTGTAGTTTTTGTTCTTGTGTTTTTTCGCTGATGCATGTACCAAAATTTCTCAAAACTTTTCAATGGCTTGAGTGTTGACCATGACTGAATCGTGACCACACGCTACAAAGTATAATTTGTGATAACCAAATTATATACCATGATAAATTTTTAAGGCGCACCTTACCTCTACCACCTCCGATGCATCTATATACCAACCCTTGGGTTTAATCAAGATGAGAGAGAATGGGAGATATCCTAGGGTTGGGACGTGCCCTCTTTATGGGTTAGGAGATAGGCGAGGTTAGAGAGAGAACTTTAGAGAGAGAAAAGAGATTGGTACATAGAGGAGGGAAAGTCCTCTATTTATAGAAAAAATTAGGTTTAGGATTTTTTAGAGTTTCCCATAGTTTGCCTCTAAAGTGAGATTAAAAATAGACCGTCGATTAATAGTGACTTATGGGTTGAGAGATCTAAGTCATTATATTTTAACCATATGACCACATGTCATATCCTACAAAATAAGGAAAGAGAATAAAAGGGTGGGGCATGCCACCCTAGAGGGGGCTACATGGGCCCACCTCCAACAACATGGTGGATCCATGTGCACAACGGCCCCTCATGAAATTATTTATATACATAAAAAAAATAACTATAAATAAAAAATAAAATAAAAACTTGAAATTTGGACCGAGGATACCATCTCCTGGTTGGTATTTTTGGTAAAAAAATAAAAAAAGACAGATTGACCCACATTCTTTGTAATTTTGGCCTATAAATGAAGCATTTCATATTTTAGAAAAAGAATTAGAGTTAATCACTTGTTTTTTTATTGATGACAAACAATTTTGTGTGTAAACTATACGGACAACTGGTTGTCCGAGTTTAGCAAGCTCATACAGCTTTATGGAATTGTCCTTCTGTAGCCGGACAGCCCTATGCCTGAAAGAACAAAAAAAAAAAAAGGACATGCCTGATATTGCAAACATTAGACTTCGGGGTAAAATTAGACAAAAATTATTGGCTTGCACAAAAATTCTATACGACAAGTGGTTCTCCATGTAAATAAAGCAGAAATATGGAGAAGTCCATAATAACCATATAAATATGGAAAAATAGTTTGTTAGGGTTAAACTCTATCAAAATAAGTAAAGCCTCACCTCATAACTCATTAAAAATCAGAATTCAAGCATTGGAGAACCTTTACATCAATCATCTCGATTTAAACATTATGGTTGTAAAAAAAAAAAAAAGGATTTCCAACTCTAAAAATAGTATATATTATAATAAATTGCTTAAACTTTCTATTTTTCCCTAAAAGTAAATGTTCACATATCCGCAAAATTTGTACCATTTTTTGAGTTTCAAAGTTTATTGTCGGTGTTCGAAAGTGATTTTAATGGCATCTTGGAAATTTTTGTAATCGAATGAGGATTGAAAGTGAGGCTTTATTTTGTTTTCATAAAGCCTAGGCCTTATAGAAACATCATTCGTAAATTTCTTGCAATACAACACAATAAAGAGTTTGTACAACTAAATCTAGTGGAAATAGAGATCGGATAGGCATATATTCATTAATATACATGTCCACTCACTAAGCAAGCACTAAATACATGTATTCATTTATATAGATATCCACTCACAAACCCAACAGTAAATACACATATATTCATTACATAGATATCTACTCACTAACCCAATACTAATATGAATATGCACTCAATAACCAAACAGTAGATACATAAAAGCGAAAGAAGGCAGAACAGAGGTGGCTAGGTTGGATGAAGGTGACCGCCGGACTCAACATCTGAAGAACCGTATTTCTCGTTGTTTGGAGTAATGGAGGGCGCCTTTCTCATTCTGTTTCCCACACTACAGAAGATGAAATATGCAAACCAAACTAACATAACAACTCCTATGTTAGCAATCAGCACAAATATGAGAACATAAGTCCATGGTTTACTACAGAAGGCACACTTGAAGTCAATCATTTTGTGGGCAATGGGGACGAACACGAAATTCAAGTAGAGGATGGTAGAGAGTGGTAGGTAGACAAGGGCCCAAAGGAAGACCACCATTATTCTCATCACTCTTCCACCCTTACTCCACATCTTCCTGGTGAAGTTCACAAACAGTATTATTATAGCGACTGCATTCATTGCTGTAAAGACCATAACGGCAAGAACAAACATCTCATCTCGAAAACTACTGTACTTGGATAGCACCAAGGAAAAAAAGGCAGCATGGGCCATGAAGAAGACGGAGATCCACATTATGAAAAACTGCACTCTCATTAATAGCTTGAGTCGGTCTGGTTTCACACACATTATCAACAAGATGATGAGTAAGGATGTCATCAGCCCAATAGTATCACATAGCATGAATGCATGATGCTGCCAATCGTCCCATGAATCTTCAAAGTTATCCACCTCTTGGTTTCCAGGAGGATTCATCAATGCTTGGAATGTGCAAGCTGCAATTAGCGTTGCCACCAACATGACGGTGTTTAAACGTTTGTGTAACAGCTTTTCTTTTGTGTCTGTGTAACCTCTCCCTGTTACTTTCTCCTGCATATTTGCTTGTCGTAAGAATTGGCAACTCTTTGGTGATTCATTATACCGGGTTTTGGTCGAGCAACCCAGGCAAGACAAGTTCCTGGTGACCTAGGTGTAAAACTCGCCAAGCCCAAATAAATTCTAAAAGAATATGACAAAAAAAAACTACTACCATATTTCTTAGTAGTACATCTTTGGAAGATTTTATTAGTTTTTAAGACAATTTCGGAACTTTCATGTTTTTTCCCTTCTATGAAATACTCAATACATAATACCACTTTCTCAATCATTCATATTTCATGTTTTTTTTTTTCATCTTTCCTAACGATTCTTTTAATCATGTTAATTTTTTTATGAATTTTAAATATTTTTAAACCTTTCTTTAGCCTTTTTTCAATTTTCAATTTTTTTTTTTTTAAGTGTACTCGACTCGATTGAGTTATTCGGATTTCGGACTTGCCAATATTACTAAGCTAAGGCAAAGCCCAAGTACCTTACCTTACCTTAGCCGAGCTGATTTTCTATATACTTCTGAAACCATCGACCTACTAAACATATTGAACGAGTGAGGTACACTTTCCGGCTGATTAGACAGTCCAAAGAATCCTTTTTTCGTAATATATTATATATATTTTGCACTATTATTCATATTTTTAGTTGTGTGTATGTATGGGGTGTAGTTTGTATAGAGCTCATGCTCTAAACAATCAAATTAAAGCGCAACTTCAAATAGTATCGAGAAATGTGGTTTCAATTCTAGAAACCTTTGTGATTGCAATACTACAAATCTTTGTGATTGCACTTTCAACAAGACGATATTGTTGAGTAAGGCAATAAATTCTTGATTGGTGCATTGAGTCGTTCGAATCATACATATAGTTTCTTACTACCACTAATTTCAAACATCGAAATCGCAGATGACCGACACAAATGCGAATCACCGGAAACCTACTAAAAAAAGAGTAAAATTTATATTTAAAAACCTCAAATCATGAAGCGATCAAGAGATCCAAGTCCAAACCCAACAACTCCATGGATTCAAACCTAGAATCTCTCAAAGGATTCATGATGAAAATCCTATTTCGTCTATTAAAAACCTCAAATCCGAGATTAAATAATAATAATAATAATAATAATGGTTGTAAGTAATTGTGACCACTTATATGAAAGATAAATAGTCTCATTGTATACAATCTCGATAAAATATAAAACGGTGGGTTTTGGGGGACCAAGTCAGTTCCCATTTCCAGCTGGAGCTAGTTTGGTCATGGTTGATTTTTAATCCAAATTGACGATTCCAAATCACAGTTTTTAAACACTCTTAAACAAAAACAAAAGATGCCAAATGCATTTGTTACCTCAGGTCTCGAAGCAGCAGTCTCAAGGCTCAAAACAGTGTTGCCATGGTCATCTCTTTGATCGCGCACAACACCAAATTCTTCGATCAACTTGATCTTCATCTCCTTATGGTGATATTTGAGGCACAGATCGAGAATGTTCTCGTGCCGATCCGTGAGGCTCTCCGCCAACTCAGGGCATGACTGGAGGACCGCAAACAACATGTCCTCATACCCCCTCATGGCCATGTGATGGACGGGGTTCCGACCATCTCTATCTCTCTGGAAAAACAAGAACTGAGTGTCGCTGCAAAGAAATGCTTCTACAATTCGAGGTTGTCTATATGCAACAGCAATGTGCATTGGGGAGAGGCCTTGGTAGTTCTCTGGAAATGCCATGAGTGGTCTTAGGTTGAGGATTTCCTTTGCCATTTCCACATGCCCGTGCCTGAAAACCAAATGAAGTGGGGTTTCAAGAGTTACCGCTGTTACACCATCTAGCATGCTCTCATCCTGCTCAATTAGTGCCCTCCAAGCATCATAATCCCCACTTCTGCATGCATTCAACAACCTTTGGTCCATGGTTCTCTCTCGATATTCTGAGCAGCTTTATCCCCTCTCTCTTTCACATACACACAAACTGAGCACAAAGCACAGATTACTGTTCTTTTACATATGGAGATTCTCTTTCTTTCGCATATACACACAAATTGTGCACAAAGCACCATGTATTTATAGATAAGTAGGATGGAGGGAGATGGGCCAAGGAAAAGTTATTCCATGTTCAAGGAAAGGGGACCAAAAAGCTTAGATTTCCTCTTGTTGGTTTTTTTTTTTTAAATACCTGTGTGCTGCTTCAATGTTCAAATATTCTCAACTTGAAGAAAACTCAGGATGGGACTAAACATAAAAGAAATATAAGTATACAAATATAATTTGTTCAAGTCCGATGGGTATTTTGATATGTTTTTCTAATAAGAAAAATAGAATTTTACATGGAGAACCTCGCTCCCAAAATTTTTAAATATTTTCCTAGATTTTTCCCCTGGTGTGACGTTATGTATGTCGTTGGTGTATATGGATTAGTACTTAGTAGCATGATTCCCTTAACATGCACCAATTAAGACTAATTCTAATTGTGCCTATATTAGTTGTAACATCGTTCCCTTAATATACACCATTTAAGATTTCACTAATTAACATGTACTCAAATGTGGTTTGATCTGCCTAATATTTTTAACACAGGACTGTCTAAAAATTGTACGATATGGCCCCATAAGAGCACGAGCTTTTACGATAGAACGCCCAACCCTTGACTTTTCTTGGCCACATGAAAAGAAGCCGATAACAAATTACAAAAGTGCGTGTCATTGAAAGGAAATTTCCTCAATCTTATCAAGTCAAGGTATGGGACCCCCTTTCTTAGAAAAAAAGAGATCCGACAATTGCTATGTTTATATTAGTGTTTGTAAAATTAAATTGGAACGGTTAATCAAACATGGGTCTGGAAACAGTGTAACTTGTCTAACCGGTAAACCGGCCGATTCAACCATTTTAATTGGGCAAGTCACGGGCGGTAAAAAAAGTTTTCAAAAATATAAAAAAGTTTATATAAAAAATATATAAAGAATGATTAAAATAAAACATATTCAAATGAAGTTGAAAATTAATAAAAAAAATAGATTTTAACCAATTTTATTTTTCAAGGGCTATTATAAAAAATTTCTAAAACAGATGAGAAAAATATAAAAGTGAATATTAATGACCAATACATTTTTTAATCTTTACCATATTGTAAAGAAGATTTAAAATGCATTAGAAATCAAATTTCTTATTTTTTATAATTTATATATATATTTTTTTTAATTCCTTTTTTTTTTAAATACCGATTGATCACCCTATCCACCAAAAACCGAAACCGGCCAATATCTGGTTCCGATCTAACCGAGCGGTTAGCGGTTAGAACGAGCGATTTACGAACAATGGTTTAGATGAAGGAAAAGAATAAGTATTAGATAATAAAGAAAGAGTGAGCCGGGTGATAATTTTCTAGAGGTTGCTATTTATTTTCAGCTACGGTGATCGTGATTGACGTGTAGTTTTTCTTCCTGTGTTTTTTCGCCGATGTTTCTTGCAGATTTCATCCTTTTAGACGCGAAAGATAGCATATTGTATATTCACTCCCTTAGGTAAGGCCCTGTTATCTTATGACCCCAAATTTTGGGGACATAAACCCAACTCTTAAGAAGCCAAAATTTTTTTTCTTGAAATTAATCATGTGCTGATTTTAAAATGGATGCCAAAGTCCCATGCAAAAAAACCTCTTAATTAGTCGTTTTTCCCGAGTTAGTAACCATACAGTGTGCTCCTGCTAGAGCATGCTTGTACTGTTACACATATGCACCTCGTCACCTTCTCACTTAATATAATGACGGGTCACCTAGCATTAATGCAACTAATCTAAGTGACCATTATAAATCTAATCACTCGACTACATGACTCGATATTCAAACCCGGACTGTATCAACAGAAATCACACATGAGTTGCACCATATATTCCGTCCTTCAATCCATGGATAAGCCGAGTCAGTGAGAGAATTATTTAAATCGGATCGAAATCTATGCTCTCGAGCAGATAAAAAATAAGAATATCAAACCAATCTATGAATATCATTAAAATAAAAAAACAAATTTAATATTTTGACCGAAGGCAAAATTTGAAAAAATAAAAAAACAGTAGGGTAGTTGATGTTCGATGCTTTGATATCAAAAATACCAAACCAACCTATTAATATCATAAAAATAAAAAAACAAATTTAATATCTTGACCGAAAAAAAATAAATTTTGAGGAAATAAAAGAATAAGGAATAAGAACCTCAGCATAAATACTACATTTTGGGCCGAGACTGTAATGACAATAAAAAAAAAAGAAGGGCTTGTACGTAAATTTCCCAAAACTTTTTCAATGGCTTGAGTATTGCTTTGGAATGCTGACCAGCGAAAACTTATGAGCATGGAACGCGTAAAGACCTTGACTGAATCGTGACCACACGCTACATAGTGTTAACGGCCCCGGCCTGTCTCAATCAATTATTGTCGGAAAGTGACGTGTTAAGGTCAACAAGATACGCAATATTGTAGCCCACTTGTTTTCTTCTTTTTGGTGTGAGTTGGTGGGGAGTGGGCCCTATTCTTGCTACTACTTGAACTTAAGACATAGGATTATAAATCGTCAAGCGGTTTGCTATCTTTTGGAATTGAGCTTAGGAATTGAGTCATTTACTTTCTTATTTTTTAGACTTCAAATCTTTTTTTTTTTTTTGTCTTCTTTATAGACTTAAAATCTTTTTTTTTTGTCTTCTTTATAAACTTAAACATCAGACCGGTGGTATCAACGTTAAATAAAGAGAAGGATAGATTAGTGACACAGTATAAAATTTACCAGCAAACAACACCAGCTAGTTAACTACGTTCAAGAGAAAAGAAAAAATCATGAAGAAAATCACAATAAGAAAAAAATAAAAATCGTGAAAAAAATCATAAGAAGAAAAAACAAAAAGTATCAATACAAGTATTCAAATGTAAGCCCATAAGCAAATGAAAAGAAAAAACATCTATAAAGGGCTATCTCTCACTCACTCACTCTACATGATCTCAAATATCACATTCTTTCATTCATAAAATTCAATTTCTTCAATTACAATTCACTTACTCTTTTTAACAGAAGTTTACATTCACAACTCTAAAGACATATAAAATAAAAAATAAAATATAAAAGAAGAAGAAGAAGAAGATAATATCAAACAGAACACTATGACCCAACTTCTACCAACGCCACTTTACTGAGAAAGTGGAACTTTTTTTTTTTTTCATAACTAAGAAGATAACGGACTCGCTATAAATTTTTCATTATCTGGCGTCTCTATGATAGGGAATGACCTCTTTCAATTTACGGACCCTTATTCTAGACCTCCTAAAATATCTATCTACTAAACAACCAAAATTAAAATAAATCGGGTAGTGAACTAATGCAACGGTTGTATCAAATTTATGTTAGTTGATTGTAAATAATTGTGATATCCATATACAAAGGGTAAATGGTCTCATAGCATACAATCCCGTCAAGTATTGCTCAACTGTATCTTAAGACATATATATATATAAGAAAAACACTACACAATATCTATAGGTAAAAATGAACAGTGATTTCGCCTATCCCCATCATCATCCAAAGTTCATCGTGCAGTCATGATTGCACGGTAGTGTTTTATTTTTCATTTTTTTTTCACAAATCGGAATAACCTGAAATTTGAAACTTGTATTCATAAAAAATAGGATAATCTTTGAAAATTACATAAAAAAAAATATTTTACATGAAAAAATTGACAAAATACCTCCAAAATATTTTGGTCAATTTATTTTTTGAGGATAATTTTTTTTATATTTTTATTAGATGCGCCTCTGTAAGATGTACATACCCTCCAAATTTCAAGTCATTTCGATTTTTTAAAAAAATAAAATAAAATAAAACACTATCGGATAATCGTGACCGCTCGATGAAATTGGATGATGATGAAAGTAGGCGAAATCACTATTTATTTTCACCTATAGG